AGTGGAGCCGGGGGGCGGAACGGTAGATGCTTGTAATATAGTGTCATAGTTTACAAGGCAGCCAGAGAGCTCAGATGGGGAGAGAGAGAGATCATATATCGTATTATAGTGTACTAGGCCAGAGGTTCCTCCTATTATAATTGTCCTCATTTGCAGGAGCTGCACCCACCTCAATCAAACTCTGTATATCGTATTATAGTGTACAAGGCCAGAGCTTCCTCCTATTATAATTGTTCTCATTTGCAGGAGCTGCACCCACCTCAATCAAACTCTGTACATCCCCTAGCCGTACAAATTGAGTACGTAATCGCAGTGAAAAAGAAGATTCAAGTTTATCACCATTCGTTCAAGATGCAGGCAAGTTCACAGCGTCTCTCTCTCTCTCTCTCTCTCTCTCTCTCTCTCTCTCTCTCTCTCTCTCTCTCTCTCTCTCTCTCTCTCTTTGATTTTCGCCTGGCTGTCTCCCAAACCTTGCCCATTGCGCATTTATCTCGCCCTCCTCTCCTTCGTGATGACCCCAGTTGATCCCCCAGATCATCCCGGAAGAACCAGCTTCCTAATTAACCCCTAGATGGTTCCTGAAATAAACCCAGGCCGAGAGGGTTCCTAAATGATATCGAGGGCGGAGCAAAGAAGAAGGAGAATCTGTGTGTGTGTGTGTGTGTGTGTGTGTGTGTAGCGTGCGCGCACGTGGGGGAAAGCAAGGTCGCAGACTCGGACATGATGACGTAATTGCGGTCATGTGTAGCCAGGCCTGGCTGTAAAAGCGTTCAAATGCACCCAGGGAATTCCTTGTGTGAGTCTGGCCTCAATGGACCAATTGATTGCCTTTCAGTCTCTGCCTGTCCTTGTGATTGTATGGCCACAGTCGATCCCAAGGGGGGTTGTTGCAGGTTTATGGGCCTCGCTCCACTACTTTCCATCTGCACAAAAGACAAAAATTATGGCGGTGTATGTTTCCATGTTCTAGCGGAAGATGCATTCTCATTTTGCACATTTGGAGAGTAGTGGAGGGAGGCCCTATCGTAGCAAATGACATTCGAACGCTGGAGGCGGCCGGTGCGCGGGTTGGGCGGGAGGAGGGGCGGGAAGGCAAGGACGAGAGCAGGTGTAGGCGACATTGGTTCTGAGGCGGGAGCGCTGACGTGGAGGA